TTTGCGCTCCAAAAGAGATCCGCCCAACAAAATTGCTTCCAAGAAATCCCCCCGTCCACAAAAATTAGTCCCTCAATATAATTGCCTCCCCCCAAATATTTCAGTTCCGTCCTTTTTGCAATTTTTTTCAGAGACTTAATTCCGCCTCTCTCTCTTTAATTAATTGCTTCTCCTCAATAAAATTCTGTCCGCCTCCTCCAAAATAATTGCCTGTCCGCCCTTTTCCAATGACCAAGGAGTTTCGCCTCCAACCCAACAGCCAAGTCCAAATCGTCCAACCCAAGCCCAATTCCGGTTCAACTCCTCAGTAAGTTTCGGTCCAATGTACATCCAGTCCACTTGAATTATTCTATCCACCAATGCAAATTTCTCGTTTCATTTACCTGAAATATATAAAACATTTGGCACTTGATGGTAATGGTTTTATAACCATTCCATGCTTAGTTGGACCTCAAACAAGTATTATAGGTCTCAAACATATGATGAAAAAATCACATTAAGCACGCAAAATCAATATGTTTTCGACAATTATAAAAAACAGGCGAGCACGGGGGGCGGCGTGGGATGACAGGAAATGGTGAGAGTCGGAGGCGGCGGTCTGGCTCCATCCCTCCTTCATCGCTGATGAACTATCAAAGAAATGGAAGAGGAAGAAAGTTGGGAGGAAATATTAGGGAAGAGGAAGCAGTTGGTTTCGCGGGTTGTGTTTCGCCAGAGAGAGGAGTGAAGGAGAGGAAGCAGTGGGGAAGTTCGGGGAAGAAGGATGGGAATAAAGAATAGGGAAATGTGAGGGAAGAAGAGAAGAGTTGGTTGGGTTGGGTTGGGTTGGATTGGATTAGGCCAAGCAAGGTGACGTGGCGGCTCGGGTATGGTGATGTGGCGGGTTAAAAAAGGGTGAGTCAAGACTTCTGTTAGTTAAATAAGAAATTGATTGACTGTGTTAACGAAGGGAAAAAAATCCCAAGTTACACATGTTTTTAAAAAAAATTCTCAAAATATACACGTTATGAAAATAATTCTCAATCTACGCATGTTTGGGCCTTCACCGCAGCAGGGGAGGGCGGTGATTGCATCACCGCATGAGAGAAGCACGGTGATTTCAATCACCGCTTTTTTAACTAACAATTTTTTCCCTTCGTTAACACAGTCAATCAATTTCTTATTTAACTAACAGAAGTGTTGACTCACCCTTTTTTAACCCGCACACCATTATTAAAGGCGATATTTAGACACTTCATCTCCGTCGGATAACCTTATGAGTTCAATTGTGGGACATGAAGGTCATACGTCTACTATCTAATCTATGTTGCCCAATTGTCTCGTTTTATATAATGAGTTCATTCGAATTATCTGTTTTCACCTTGAACGATCAAAATTAACTCAAAACGAATCAATTCTAAATACCTAATGCAACATTCAATTTTTATGATGACAAATTGGTCAATTTACTTCAATTATCTCAGAAGGTCAAATTGATACGTTACAATTTCTCCTCCTACATTTCTCCTCCAAACGGCCAAGTATATTAATGGAATTGTGGGAGACAGAGTTTGACTTGCTCTCAAATATATAAATTAATAAATGAGTAAAAACTCCAGTTGGACTTTCATAAAGGGGTCGTTTGGAAGTTGCGATTGTTAAATAGATGTATTGTTGAGAATGCATGTATAATATTATACATGTATTGTCGAATTTGATGCATTGTAGAATACAACGTTTGGTATGTGGATTGTGTATGTCGCATCAGCTAAAAGCCGAGACAAAACAATCTCAACTCAACTATCTCAACAATCACAACTAAAACTTGAGATATAACAATCACTCAAAATGAGTGATAGTTTCTGCCACATCACAGAAACAATCCATGTATTGTTTCTGCTAAAAAAACAAAAAACGATGTATTGTAAACAATATCTGCATAATGACAATCTCAACAAAACTATCGCAACTTCCAAACGACCCCTAAAACTCATCTTTTCTCGCACAATAGAAGGAAGGAATAAAAAAACAGCTTCCTTTATCTTGAAATGAGAGAGAGAGAAATCTTTTCAATACAGAGTTAGGTAATCAGTTCGTGGAGCGAGAGCGGGAGCGTAAGAGCTTGCATTGTACAAGAATTCAATATTAAGAGCGAGAAGAGAGCGTCATTATATATTATTTTTAATATTTATTATATATTATTTTTTATTAATTTAAAATGTAATTAGTGCCAAAATAGTACCTAACAAATTGATTAATATTAATATAGAAAATGACGATGCAGATAAGATGAGTTTTTATGTTTAATTTCACTAATTATTTATCTCTGATGATGAATATCTAAAGTGATTGTAAATGGAAAAAATTATTATTTCATTTTTTCCTATTAAAACTTCCCTTATTTTAACAATAAAAAAACTTTCCTTATCTTTTACAGATTCACCCACCGCTGAGTTACCACTTACCCACCAAAAAACTTCTTCTCCCTCTTCCTCCACTCTCTCTCCCTCTTCTGCGACACATAACTATGTTTTTCTCTTCATTTTTCGGCGATTGATTTCGCGCATGCAACCAGTGATTGAACCATTATCTTCTCACAGATCAGTGATTGACACACAAGGCATTGGAAACACTAATTCGTAGGTGGAAGGAGAATGGTCTGCATAGAAGACTACCGATTCGATCGGAGGAAGAAGAAACAAATGCGTTGCCGACCGTCGATCGACACTGGAAGGCCATAAAACGACCATCTGGCCAGGAAGCAAAGTGTTTCTTTTTGCTGTCTAATATACTCATTCATTGGGAACACTCGATTGCAGGAAGGAAAGGAAAAGATTGCACCAACGATTGTCCATTCTGAGGAAGAAGGCGATGAACGGCCAGCCGAATGGGAATTTCCCCCCTTTGCTCTAATAAAATTCCCTTCATCAAGAGATTCGCGCTCCTATCAATGATAATTCTTGCTCCTCTCAATGATAGTTCGCGAACTGTGGACGCTCTATTAGAAATTCGCGTTACCACGCTCTAATTCGGGAACGACGAGGGCCGACCCACGAATTGGGTGACCGAAATACAGAGTAGCAAGGTTGTCAAACCGGTTTATGGGGTGTTCCGATTTTGAAAGTGGAATGGTCCGACCGTGGTACAACCAGTATTCATGCTGGTTGTTTCAGTTTTAATAAAATATATGAGACAAATGAAAATCCTCAATTCCAAAATGAGTCATTAAAAAGCAATTAGAAAATTTATTTCACACAAAATAATTTATAGCTAAGAATTGGTAACTAATACTAAACATTTACATGCTTAAAAATAAAATTATATAAAATGAATTTTATTAATGTTTATAATGATTTGTGTAAAATTCCGTATTAGATATATAAGATACAAGGTTAATATATACAACAAAGTTGCCTGTAGCCTACTTGTGTATAAGTGAGACTAAAATGAACATGAGGTACCTGGTTCAAATCCTAAAGAGGGTGTTTATTTTTGGATAAAATATGCGTAACATTGAATTCCGGTTTCTGGTCTAACCGGCCGAAATTTTTGGAATTGACCGGATCTGATCGGCATTGACCGGATTTGACCACAGTTAAATACCGACCTCTTTCTAGCTGGTTTGGTGACCGGTACCAGTTGTACCCAATTGAACCGGCCGGCATGAAACCGGTTTGACAACCATGCAGAGTAGACTTACTTTTCCAATACAAAGCACCACAAAATTTCCCCTTCCCACGCTCATGTCTCATCCTTACCTCCCCCTATCACTTACCTTTTATTTTCTTTTTGAATTTGTCTTTATGATTATGATGGTTAGTGGTTACAATCAATCCCCTTTGCATGCAGAGTTTGGAGACTTTATTTTGGGAATGGCTAATTATCGCCCTAATTTATTATAATTGTCCTAACTAAAAAATTAGTATTACAATTTTACCCTTTTGTTTATATTTTTAGAAATTGGTTCCTCATCTGTGAGTTTCCAGGGGGAGAGAGATAGGGTGGTTGAGCGGGACAGGAATGAACATTCGACGTTCGCAGTAAAAAAAAAAAAAAAAAAGAACATATCGGACGATTGGTTTATGGCCAGAACCCAATACACAGGTTCATAATTGAAGAATCTTCTTCATAACAATTCCCCTAATGGGAATGGAATCTGAATGGTGGGATCTGATAAAAACACTTCAAATGATATCCAAATCAGCAACGGTGCAGAATGTAACAATTGAATAATTGATGTTTATTGAATAGTACATCGCCCTTAACTAAAATGCGGGAGGACGTCGGAGAAGGGTCGCCGGCGAGACGGAGGAGAGGATGCACCGCGACGGTGTGACGTCGGCTGGAGGAGAGACAGCAGTAGCAAGTGACTGTTGGAGGAGAACGACAACGGCTGGATGGAGGAAGCGGGATTGGGTGGGGCTTTGTGGCGGAGGACGTCGACGGCAAGTTGGTTGGATGCAGGCGTCGGCGGCTTAGACGAGAGAGGAGTGGTCTTTGTTAGGAATTAGGATGCGTTTGCTTTGGGGCTTTTATTTCTACGGGCAATTACGTCATTTCAATTTTCAAGTTAGACGATAATAGTAAAGTTAGTGCGATATTTAGCCATTTAGTTTATTTTCCCTTCACACTCTCATCTTGATCCCCTCGCCAGCTAGAAATTAGGATGCTCAATTATTCCTTTCAATTAATTAGATTGACTGATTAATTTTTTCCTTCAACGTCTGTTTAATAGTAATGGCAAATGGCAATCAAAACCCATTTAGTTAATTAGAATCCGTTTTTTTCCCTAAAAAAAGATAAACCAAAAAACGAACGAGCAAATTAAAAACGAATCAGAGAATTATCTTTCCCCGAGGAACAAATTGAAAACAATACATTCATTCATAAGCCTTAAACCTAAATCCGAGCATATAATACTAGATTTCCATAATATAGACCACCATAATCACGCACAAACCACTGTTACGAATTAGATACAGTCCCAAAAGATTAATAATAGTACCTAATAGAGAATATAGACCTAAATTACCTTTTCATTGACCCTTCTACCCCGCCGGCCGCCGCAGCCGACGATGTCTCCTCCGCTGCCGGTGTCTCATCCTTCGGTGCTTCCTCCACCTCCGGTGCTTCCTCTGCCGCCTGTTTCTCCTCCGCCAGTCATCTCTACCTCGGCTACTGCCACAGCCTTCTCCGCCCCTGCCCTCTCCGCAGCTTCAGATGCCTCCGCCACTGCTTTCTCCGCTAATACCTCAGATGCCTCCGCCACTGCCTTTTCTGTTGATACCCCAGATGCCTCCGCAACTGCTGCTCCGGTCAGCGCCGCTGCACCTCGTTTCTCCGCCTTTACTGCTCGTTTCTCCGCCTCTACCGCTCGTTTCTCCGCCGTTGCCACTCTGGCCGCAACCATCCAACGATTCACTCTACGTTCAGCAGCTTTTTTTTCACGTTCAACCTTTTCATCCTCTGCTATTTTCAGCTCGCTTACCAGATAAGTTGTAACAACGAAGAGGCAGCCTACGAATACGGTGACCCAAATAGCTTGTTCCAAGCTGACTGTTGCACCCGGTTCCCAGACCATGGCACCTATTGGAATGATGATTTGAATCACCAACAGTAGCAGCTCGGACTTCATTCGATTACCCTGCATCAAGCTGCTGCTGTAAGGAAGAAGGCAAGCTTCCCACGAAGTGCAGATCAAGTCCAAGTCGGAACGACGCCGTTCTTCTCCTATCCAGAAACAAGGATCGAAGTGAAACGTTGCCGTTCTGTTGCGAGAAGAAGTGTTGAACTCCAAGCCGCTGCCGTTTCAATTAATCTCTGTTAGGAGTTAGTTAGCCAGCTGTACAGTTTTCATTCGTTAGTTTGAGTTGTTAGTTTTTACTGTAGATTAGCCGTTGCTAATCAAACTTTACCTTCTCTGTACAACCTTGTATATAAATGGAAATGCAAAACCAAGGAGCTCTCTGTTGAGAATCCTTCCACAAAAACCATATCTACTCATTTTCTTCTCATGGTATCAGAGCCTGGTTGCTCTATACCTTAGATCTCAACCAAATTTTTCTCGATCCTAGCGATTCCACTTTGTAATGTCCCCTCCTCCTCCCGGCGTCGATGGCCATGTCTCTGATGGCTCTGAATCGTCTGAATCTAGAAACCCAGGACAGACTTCCACCACTCCACCGCCGATTCCAGCACAGCCGCTTCAAACCCTACCACAGGTGCCGCCTCAGGTGCCCAGATATGAGGATCCATACCTCAATCCTTACTACCTTCCTCCTCACGATGGAGGCTTGACCACCATCATCTCCATGAAGATGACTGACCAGAACTACAACCTCTGGAGTCAGATGATGGAGCTTGCTCTCAGCACTAAAAACAAGCTTCCGTTCATCAATGGTATGATTCCTGTTCCTCAACCCACTGATCCAATTTGGCGATCTTGGCATCGTTGTGACAGTACAGTGCGATGCTGGATATAAAAATCTCTTTCTGATGATATTGCGAATAATGTGGTACCCTTTCGTGTTGCTAAAGAAGTATGGGACAATCTGCGAGACAGATTTAGTCAAGAAGACTATATTAAGGTGTATGAGCTCAAAGAGCAGGTTTCTAAGCTCGTCCAAGGAGATCTGACTGTTTCACAGTACTACACTGCACTCACCACAAAGTGGCAAGAATATAAGATGTATAGGCCACTTACCTGCTGCCCTTGCCCTAATAGTCCATACCACACCATGACCAGATATCAGGAAGAAGATTTCATTATCAAATTCATGCAAGGGTTGAATGATAATTACCAATCTGCGCGTACCCATGTGCTTATGAGTACCCATTTACCAAGTATTGAGTCTGTTTTCAAGCAGATGGTTCAACTTGAGCGACAACTCAAGGGTTCTGCTACTAAGCTAGGAGTGAATTCCTTGGCATTGCTAGCTCAAGGGTCTTCTTCCTCTGGACGTCCCAATACCACTGCACGAAATCCTCGTGATTAGACCACTGAAGGGAAAAAGTGGTGTCGTTATTGCAAAAAGGAAAATCATACCATCCAGGAATGTTATAGGTTGAAGAACAAGAAGTCTAGAGAGGGTACAGATGGTACTCCCTTTGCTTGTGCTGTTGATGTTTCTGGTTCTGATGGGAGTAGCAATGCTAGCTCTGCAGCAACAGGATTAGAACCATCCTTGAGTTCTCTGCTTACCCCTGATCAGTTTGAGAAGCTCAGGAATCTTTTGAATGGGTCCCCTTCTCCATCACCTTCACCTCCCAGCTCACCCAATCTGCCTAATGTCAATTTAGTGATCAGGGCACCTCAACAATCACCCCATTTTGCAGCCAGCACCTCAGGTACTTCTTCCTTGTCTACAACCTTGAATGAAACAGTTTGGGTATTAGACACAGGTGCTACAGACCACATAATCTGTAACCTGTCTACCTTCATCAAGTATAAACCTATGGAAGGTGTTAATGTGTCTCTACCTAATGGACACCATGTGAAAGCCACTCATATAGGCATAGTCAGGTTACCTTGTGGATTGTTCCTTACCCAAGTCCTCTTCATTCCATCCTTTACTTACAATCTTGTTTCTGTAAGTAAATTGACCAAAAATCACCCTGTCTCACTAGTCTTCCAATCCAATTTTTGTACCATTCAGGAGCTTATTACTCGGAGGAAGATTGGTTTAGCCCAAGTTGATAAAGGCCTCTACCTCTTTTCTGATTCCAAGCTTCAAGAATTTCATCCTCCAGTTCCTTCTTCCAGTTTTGCAGCAGGAGTTTCAAGTTCCAAGCCTTCTACTCCTGATATTTGGCATGCCAGATTAGGCCATCCCTCTTTGTATAGGATGCAAATTATTAAACATGTTTGTAATGATGTTGCTCTTCCTTCTTCTAAACATTGTGAGACTTGTCACTTGTCCAAACAAAAACGACTTCCATTTCCCAACAACACTTCTGTCAGTTCAGAAGCTTTCTCTCTACTCCATGTTGATATATGGGACCCTTGAATACCTTGTCTAGGGAAGGATACTCTTACTTCCTTACCATTGTTGACGATCACACTAGAGTTGTTTGGGTCTTTTTAATGAAATCGAAATCTGAAGCCAACCCCCTTTTACAATCCTTCTGTATAATGGTTAACAACCAATTCTCTAAATCTATCAAGACCATTCGAACTGATCAGGGTAAAGAATTCCACATGGCTAACTTTTATCACAGTCGTGGCATCACTCATGAGATGAGCTGCGTTTACACAGCCCAACAAAATGGCCGCGTTCAGCGAAAACACCAGCATTTGCTCAACGTGGCTTGATCACTCAAATTTCAGTAAGGACATCCCCTTTCCTTCTGGGGTGACTTTGTCCTGCACGCAGCCTATCTCATTAATCGAACTCTAACACCCCTTCTTAACCACAAATCACCCTATGAAATGCTTTACCATGTCCCTCCTGATTACATGAGCCTGCGTGTCTTTGGTTGCATGGCTTATGCCACTGTTGTTGGAGGTCACAAAACCAAATTTGCACCTCGTGCCAGGAAATGCATCTTCCTTGGCATTCCCACTGGTATTAAAGGATTCAAACTCCTTGACCTTGACTCTGATCAGGTTTTTGTTAGTAGAGATGTCCTGTTTCATGAAGGCATTCTACCTTTCAAACAATCCCAGTCTGCCAATCCTACAACTCTTCCTCCTGATCATTCTCCTTCACCTGTCGTGGATGATGATGTCTTTCCACTCTCATCTGCTGACATTCCTAACATTTCCTCTCCTCCTACTGCTAGTCAATATCCCTCTGACTCTGACAGTGAGAATGATCAGCCTCCTTCCTCACCTAGTCCCTATCATACCTCCCCTAGTCCTCATCATCCCTCACCTATTCATTCTCATTCCTCACCCAGTCTTTACCATTACCACTCTCCTCCTTCCTCCATTCCTTCTACCTCTGCCAAACCTGTAGTTCCCCCTAGGAAATCCACAAGGGTACCTGTCTTTCCTAAGAAATATGATGACTTTTATGTTGGTTCAGTCCAAGTCAGTATGTCCCATCTCACTCCTCCTCAGCAACATTTTGCTCTTACCTTGCTTACCAATGAGGAGCCAGTGAGCTATGCTGAAGCTGCTAGAGATCCCAGATGGCATGCAGCCATGAATGAAGAGTTCAGTGCACTTCAAGCTAATGACACATGGGACATTACTGACTTGCCTGGGGGGGTTAAGCCAATTGGCTCCAAATGGGTGTACAAAATAAAGTACAAGTCAGATGGAGCCTTAGAAAGGTTTAAGGCAAGGGTAGTTGCTAAAGGCTATACCCAAATATATGGGATTGATTATTGTGATACCTACTCACTAGTGGCTAAGATCACTTTAGTTAAAATGTTACTGGATGTTGCTTCTGCTCAGAAATGGCATTTACACCAAATGGACGTTAACAATGCATTTCTGAATGGGGAGCTTGATGAAGTGGTCTATATGGAATTGCCATATGGATTAAGGGATCTACTTGAGTACAAAGGGAAGGTTTGCAGACTCAAGAAGTCTCTTTATGGGATGAAACAAGCCAGTCGAATGTGGTATGCAAAGTTAACTGAGTCTTTACTCAGTAATGGTTTCAAACAGTCTCTTGCAGACTATTCCATCTTCCTTTCCACTGTTCAGGGGCATCTGGTTGTTTTAATTGTTTATGTTGATGATATAGTGGTTGGCAGTGCTAGCCTTGATGCAGTGAAGGAAGTTAAAAGGATGTTAATGTCCTTGTTTAAGATGAAAGATCTTGGAGAGTTACAGTACTTCCTTGGCATGGAAGTTAGCAGAACAGATAAGGGAATTCATGTTTGCCAAAGAAAATACTGCATTGAACTTCTTAAAGAAGCTGGTTTTGATGAGTGCAAGCCAGCAAAGACCCCATCAAGTGTCAAACAAGTGCTATCTGCATAAGATGGGGAACCTTACCTTGACATTCCCTTATTCAAGCATCTCCTTGAACAACTTCAGTACCTGAACAGCACCAGACCTGACATAACCTTTGCTGTGCAACAGTTGTGTCAATTTTCAAGATGCTCCAACAACTGTGCACAACAAGGCATTACATAGGGTATTCAGGTACCTTATGGACTCACCAGGCCAAGGTTTATTATATCCCAGTGATTCTTCTATGCAGCTAACTGGGTTTAGTGATTCAGATTGGGCAACTTGCCCAGATTCCAGAAGGTCTATCACAGGGTTTTGCACATTTCTTGGTAAAGGGTTGATCAGTTGGAAGAGTAAGAAGCATAGCACTGTATCTAAATCATCCTCTGAGGCAAAATACAGAGCTCTAGCCCACCTTAGTTGTGAAGTTCAATGGCTAGTCAGATTACTTGCTGATTTTGGCATTGATCACCCTTCTCCTGTTATGGTGTTCTGGGATAACCAGTCTGTGATTCATATTGCAAGAAACCCTGTGTTTCATGAACGGACAAAACACATTGAAGTGGATTGTCACGTTATCAGGGAGAGATTGACCAATGGGTTGATCACTTTACATCATTTGTCTACTGTTCATCAGCTTGAAGATTTATTTACCAAAAGCTTGGGCATAGATAGTTTTAACCTTCTGTTGTCCAAGCTGGGAGTTTCTGGAAGACCCTCGCCAGCTTGTTGGGGGGGGGGGGGGGTATTGGAATGATGATTTGAATCACCAATAGCAGCAGCTCGGACTTCATTCGATTACCCTGCATCAAGCTGCTGCTGTAAGGAAGAAGGCAAGCTTCCCACGAAGTGCAGACCAAGTCCAAGTCGGAACGACGTCGTTCTTCTCCTATCCAGAAACAAGGATCGAAGTGAAACGTTGCCATTCCGTTGCGAGAAGAAGTGTGGAACTCCAAGCCGCTTCCGTTTCAATTAATCTCTGTTAGGAGTTAGTTAGCCAGCTGTACAGTTTTCATTCGTTAGTTTGAGTTGTTAGTTTTTAGTTTTACTGTAGATTAGCCGTTGCTAATCAAACTTTACCTTCTCTGTACAGCCTTGTATATAAATGGAAATGCAAAACCAAGGAGCTCTCTGTTGAGAATCCTTCCACAAAAACCCTATCTACTCATTTTCTTCTCATGGCACCCGTTGTCCTTAAACCACAGAAATGCAAAAAGTGTATTATTAGACCGATACTTAAAAAAGAAAAATTAAGTTGATATAATAATAAACAAATATAAGTGCTGCAAACTTACGATAGCCAAGTTGAGGAGGCCCCAAATACAACTGGAAACCTACAAGCTAGCATGACCCACCGCAACACATGAGTAGAGACAAAAGAGGAGCATGTAGAACGGCCTGACACGTGTAGTGCTCGCTGAGAACTGGCCGACTACAAAACTGTAACCACACAACCCTACGTCTGTGGATAGCATGTGCCAGCGAACTCCTAGGAGCCCGAAGCCCTTAGAGGGTCTTTTAGCAGCAGTACGGTCACGATGAGGAAATGGATGACCAGGACAGCAGAAGCCAATAGGATGGATGATCACGTAGTCCAGTCCCTGAAGTAGTCGTCCAAATCCTTCATATGCTTGTTGCCTTTGATTGAAAAAGCTAATATAGCTGCTGCTGCCGCCGCCGACGCCCACTCCAGTCGCTGGTGTAGTTGAAACGCCCATGAAGAATCCAACTGGTTCTCGCCGCCGGAGGCTAAGGGGGCAGCGGAGGTCTGATCAGTGGGGTGGGGTGGTTCTTGGACAGGAAGACTTGAGTATCTTGAGCTGGAGGTACCCATTTTAGCTTCTGTTTGAATGTACTGCCATTGCAAACTTGTGGATCCTCATCATCCACTTTAAACCAAACCAACATTCTAAAAATTGCAATTGTAAAGATAGGAGAAGCTTGCATCAGGTAGTCAGAGGCTGTTTTGAGTAATGGATCTCAAGATGGAAAAAGGAAGACAAGGACCAAGTAAGGCATAAGCAAAAATTGTATAGTTTTGGATTGTGGTGATTTGATTAGCAGGTGGAGGTCGATGGTTGGGGAATGGAGAAGGGACGTTTCTCTTTTTTTTTTATCGCTTTGTATGTGTGAGAGAAGAGGAGGGGTTTAATTGGTTTGGGGAAGGAATCTTGCTGGCCAAGGTTGTCAACCCACGGGTTGACCCGGACCCGGTCGAGCTAGTGGGTCAAGGGTTGATGAGTCAACCGTTCTAGTCCGGTTTGGCCCGGAAATATGGAAAGAGTCATTATATTGTACTTTTCCTTATAAATTATATCAAATCTTATCTAGCATATGAGTTATAACATATAATATTACACCAAAATAACATATCGTACTTAGATCTAGCATAAACTGAAAATTCACACACACTTATATACATCAATATTCAAATATTCAACTTAGGATTCCAAAGATTGAGTTAGGCGAAAAGAAAAATCGGAAAATATGCGCATTTTGCAAACCAAAGAAAAAAATGACACAATTTGACCTTTAACCCGGTATCGTATAGCGGTCGACCCGGCGGGTGTGTGCGGCCCGTTTTTCTCACCGGGTCAGGGTCAAAATGGGTTGACCCGCGGGTTGACAACCTTGTTGCTGGCAGAAAAATAAATATATACCGTCCAGTCCATCTTCCCTTATAAATAAAGTTATATATATATATATAAGTGGCTATCTCTTTTTTTTTTACCTTTTCTTATTTAATTTTATAATTATAACGGGCCGTTTACCCAAAAATTACTAAAGGAGATTCATTAAAAAAAAATTAACAATGGAGAAGTCATAGTTAAATAATATATGTAACAATGGAAAGAAGGTACGTTTCTCTATGTTTATCTCCATTTGTTAATTTGTTTTGTGTGAGAGAAGAGGAGGGATTTAATTGTTGGGTTAATACCTTATTTTGGCCCGAACTATGACCATATAATCAACTTTGGCCCGTGGTTTCAGAATTAACATCATGGCCTCAACTATGCAGCATATAGACTCAATTGGCCCGACACATAGTTTGACCGTTACTCAACACACCATGTCATTGCCTAGTCAACCTAAAAATCATTAAAAAAATTATTTATTATCAAATTGACCAAAAATAAATTATAAAAAACATAAAATAATTTTTTCTATTTTTTGGATAATTTGAAAATGATAAATTTTATAAATTAACCAAAAATTAACAAATTATTTTATATTTTTAAAACTTCCCAAAAAAATATAATTTATATAATATTTTTTTAATTTTTAAAATTTAATTTGATAATTTTGGTTAATTTAAAAAATTATCATTTTCAAATATCGCAAAAAAAATTATTAATTTTATTTTTTGGTTAATTGGAAAATGATAAATAATAGAAATTAGGAAAATAATTTGAATTTAAATTTTTTTAATGATTTTTATGCTTATTAGGCAATGACATAGCATGTTGACTAACGGTTAACGGAGTTGACCGTTCAAATTGACGGTCAAACTATGTGTCGGGCCAATTGAGTTTATATGCTGCATAGTTGAGGCTAGGATGTTAATTTCTGAAACCACGGGCCAAAGTTGATTATATGGTCATAGTTCGGGCCAAAATAAGGTATTAACCCTTAATTGTTTTGGGGAAAGGTAATCTTGCTGGCAGAAAAAAAATCAAACAAATTGCTTCCGTTTGCTGCCGTTACTCACACAAGCTCTCGTTAGCCAAACCAAACAAATTGCTGCCGTCACAGACTAGAGCTGTGCGGGCTACTTAGTAGGACCTGTCCTCCTGCAGATCTGTTTGATCTTTGACACCAAAATGGCCTCTGAAGACCTGGTGAGAAGGCTGTGAGAGCCTGATTTTGCTATATCACCAGTAATAAGTAATTGTATTATATTTAATTAGTTTTCAATTCAAAGGTTGTCTTCATTCGACTTTTCCCCCCTTCTTTTTTACAAGATTGTCCTGATTCGATTGCTTGTTTATATACTTGATTGATTATCATAGTTTTCTTTAACCTAAACGTTTAGAATAATTGATGAATAGTTGAATACAAAAGAATTGTAAAACTCATTGTAATTAATTTTAGGGTTAATATATTTGTCTGTCACAGAACCTTTTCCATACTTCACCTATTTTTATATCCCGACTTTGCTATTGTGTAGGATACAACGCACTCTGCTTATTAAAAAGAAAAAGGATACAAATTAAAAACGAAAAAGGATACAAATTAGATTGACTGATTAATTTTTTCCTTCAACGTCTGTTTAATAGTAATGGCAAATGGCAATCAAAACCCATTTAGTTAATTAGAATCCGTTTCCCTAAAAAAAAAATAAACCAAAAAACGAACGAGCAAATTAAAAACGAATCAGAGAATTATCTTTCCCCGAGGAACAAATTGAAAACAATACATTCATTCATAAGCCTTAAACCTAAATCCGAGCATATAATACTAGAGTTCCATAATATAGACCACCATAATCACGCACAAACCACTGTTACAAATTAGATATAGTCCCAAAAGATTAATAATAGTACCTAATAGAGAATATAGACCTAAATTAACTTTTCATTGACCCTTCTACCCCGCTGGTACATTCGCCGCCGCAGCCGACGATGTCTCCTCCGCTGCCGGTGTCTCAGCCTTCGGTGCTTCCTCCGCCGCCTGTGTCTCCTCCGCCAGTCATCTCTACCTCGGCTACTGCCTTCTCCGCAGCTTCAGATGTCTCTGCCACTGCCTTCTCCGCCGCCTCAGATGCCTCCGCCACATCCTTCTCCGCCGATACCTCAGTTGCCTCCGCCACTGCCTTCTCTGCTGATACCCCAGATGCCTCCGCAACTGCTGTTCCGGTTAGCGCCGCTGCAGCTCGGGCCTCCGCCTGTACCGCTCGTTTCTCCGCCTCTGCCGCTCGTTTATCCGCCGCTGCCACTCTGGCCGCCGCCGCTGCCTCCACCGCAACCATTCTATGATTCACTCTATGTTTAGCAGCTTTTTTTTCAAGTTCAACCTTTTCATCCTCTGCTATCTTCAGCTCGCTTACCAGATAAGTTGTAACAATGAAGAGGTAGCCTACGAACACGGTGACCCAAATAGCTTGTTCCAAGCTGACTGTTGCACCCGGTGCCCAGACAATGGCACCCGTTGTCCTTAAACCACAGAAATGCAAAAAAGTGTATTATTAGACCGATACTTAAAAAAGAAAAATTAAGTTGATAGAATAATAAACAAATATACGTGCAGCAAACTTACGATAGCCAAGTTGAGGACGCCCCAAATACAACTGGAAAACTACAAGCTATCATGAGCCACTGCAACACATGAGTAGAGACAAAAGAGGAGCATGTAGAACGGCCCGACAAGTGTAGTGCTCGCTGAGAACTGGCCGACTACAAAACTGTAACCACACAACCCTACGTCTGTGGATAGCATGTGCCAGCGAACTCCCAGGAGCCCCAAGCCCTTAGAGGGTCTTTCAGTAGCAGTACGGCCACGATGAGGAAATGGATGACCAGGACAGCAGAAGCCAATAGGATGGATGATCACGTAGTCCAGTCCCTGAAGTAGTCGTCCAACTCCTTCATATGCTTGTTGCCTTTGATTGAAAAAGCTAACATAGCTGCTGCCGCCGCCGCCGACGCCCACCCCAGTCGCTGGTGGAGTTGAAACACCCATGAAGAATCCAACTGGTTCTCCCCGCCGGAGGCTAAGGGGGCAGGGGAGGTCGGATCAGTGGGGTGGGGTGGTTCTTGGACAGGAAGACTTGAGTATCTTGAGCTGGAGGTACCCATTTTAGCTTCTGTTTGAATGTACTGCCATTGCAAACTTGTGGATCCTCATCATCCACTTTAAACCAAACCAACATTCTAAAAATTGCAATTGTAAAGATAGGAGAAGCTTGCATCAGGTAGTCAGAGGCTGTTTTGAGTAATGGATCTCAAGATGGAAAAAGGAAGACAAGGACCAAGTAAGGCAGAAGCAAAAATGGTATAGTTTTGGATTGTGGTGATTTAATTAGCAGGGGGAGGTCGATGGCTGGGGAATGGAGAAGGGACGTTTCTCTTTTTTTTTTATCGCTTTGTATGTGTGAGAGAAGAGGAGGGCTTTAATTGGTTTGGGGAAGGAATCTTGCTGGCCAAGGTTGTCAACCCGCGGGTTGACCCGGACCCGGTCGAGCTAGTGGGTCAAGGGTTGATGAGTCAACCGTTCTAGTCCGGTTTGGCCCGGAAATATGGAAAGAGTCATTATATATATGGTGGCTTCTATGGTACCCCGGGTGAAATCCGGGGTACCGCATACCTCGAGTATGGAAACTCTATCTAGACCTCGAATTACCAGGATTTTTGTGTCTGATATTATACCCTAACCCTTAATGAGTGAACCCTAGGTCATAATTATCTAAATCATAATCTATAAACCCTAAGATGGTGCATTCCTTTTTGTGCCTATATTTGGATGAATCATAACCGTCGATTATTATTTCTAATTAAATTGATCTTGGAGTATAAGATTGGGAGAGTTAACACCTAGATTTTGATCTTTAAGTGTTAGAGTATAGTATCATGTCCGAAAGATCGGTCAATTCAAGGTCTAGATAGTGTTTTCATACTCAAGGTATGCGGTACCCGGATTTCACCCAGGGTACCATAGAACTCGCCATATATATATATATAAGTGGCTATCTCTTTTTTTATCTTTTCTTATTTAATTTTAGAATTATAACGGGCCGTTTACCCAATAATTTCTAAAGGAGATTCATTAAAAAAAATATTTAACAATGGAGAAGTCATAGTTAAATAATATATGTAACAATGGAAAGAAGGTACGTTTCTCTACGTTTATCTCCATTTGTTAATTTGTTTTGTGTGAGAGAAGAGGAGGGATTTAATTGTTTTGGGGAGGTAATCTTGCTAGCAGAAAAATCAATTAAATATACACACTCCATCTCTCCTTGTAAAGTTATAAGTAATAAGTGGCTATGTTTTTTTCTTTAATTTTAGGATTACTGTATAATGTACCGTTTACTCAAAAATTATCTATGGAGAGATGGACAAGCGTCACTATTGACATAAAATTTTCTTCATCACTATTGACTTTTTCGTTTAACTAAAATTACTCGTCACTATTTGTTAGTATTACTTTATAATAGGCCGTTTACCCATAATAAATTTTAGGAAATCGAGAAGAATAAAGGAATTGACTTAGGTTTTACTTTTCTTTGTAGTTTAGTACAACAAAGGGTTTGTAGTCTAACAAAAGAGTCATAAAAAAATAACATTTTAAATAGTCAGTATCGACATATTTTATCATGTCACTATGATACATTGCAACTGTAGTTGGAAATATCACTACAACCCATAAAACTTGTTTTCTTTCTAAATTTCAAAAGACTAATGGTAATGCAAAAACTGTATTGACATGTATGCACCTTCTCTTAAGGCTAACACTAGGATAGACCATGATTGAATATCGGTGTACTTTACTTATTCAGAATCCCAAGTACAATAATACATTAACTCTCAGAGTAGTTTCTATTCCTAAATTGTTTGAGACTCCTTGCAACAAGAGGGTGCAGGTACTCTATATTATGCCCTTTCTCATATGAATAATGTTAATAAATTGATTTTTGGCAGTGCATGCGTAGTAACATAATAACATTTTAGGTTGTCTAATGAGTCCATACGTTTTTTCTGCACATGTGCCTTCTATTTAAAATTCGAAGATTTTGGAAACTTGTCTGGCCGGTTGGCGCAGATTTAGGTTGTGATATCTGAGAAACAAATAAATATGTGGTGGTTCAAGAACAAGCATATATCAAGATTCAATTGTTAATTTTCGGCAGAGCGACGAAGGTAAGCTTTCTTCCCAAACTAATGGACTTCACGATGATATTAGAATTTAGACGGCACATGACGTGCCTCGGGTCACTGTATAATAATATTTTGAAATAAATAGTGCTCTGGGAATTTAGATGATCTATGTGGAATCAGAGCCTTTGATATGTAGCATGGAGGAAGCCAACTGGGGATATGATCTGATAGTTGGGGCTAAGATCTAATGCGCAAAGGGAGTCATGACTTGTGATTTGATGAAATCGACTGCTTTCGGACTCGTATCTTCCCTTATTGTCTTCAAACTTCCGTCGATTGGAACAAAGACTTCCCCTAATTCTGTTCAGTCCCTGCCTACTTTGATGAGGTGGACAATTCCTTACGGAAGCTCGAGAGGAGGGGAAAAAATCACTTCTGTTCAGTAAAAAAAACTATGAGAACAATAATAATAATAATAATAATAATAATAATAATAAATCACTTCCGTTTTCTGCCGTTACTCACACAAGCTCCCGTTAGCCAAACCAAACAAATTGCTCCCGTCACAGACTACAGCTGTGCGGGCTACTTAGTAGGACCTGTCCTCCTGCAGATCTGTTTGATCTTTGACACCAAAATGGCCTCTGTAGACCTGATGATAGGGGTGGGCATCCGGTTCGGTAAACCCGAACCGAGCCGAACCAAACCGATACCGAACTATTACTATTCGAATCGGAATTCGGAACCAGAATGTGGGTATTTCGGAAACTAGGGTGGTCATACCGAACCCGAAATTCCGAAACCCGAACCGAGAACCCAAAATATATGCCCAGCCCAGTTCCCACAGCCTGGCCCATCCCCTAAGCGGCCTAGTCGTCTCCCCAAGCCCACTTCCCAGTTCCTCCACAACCCATATACCCTATCCCAGCAACCATAATACCCTATCCCAACAGCCAGAAAAAGAAGAAGGAGGAGAATCGCCGCCAACAGCCCACCCGGCTCTAATCCTCACCAGTCACCACCATTGGCCATCCACTTCCGATTGCTTCCTCGCCGCCAGCCAGCCTCCGACCACCCGCTCTCTCTCACTGCTTCCAGGCGGCTGCAACAATCACTCCGGCCATCTATCGTCGCTTGGAGCTTTACCGGCATCAGATCCAGTGGCGGCCTGAATAGAGGCGGGACCATCACCGACGTGAGCATCCCGCCTCTCTACTGCCGCTACATCGAGCTCTGCGTCGACTGATTTGAAGGCCGACAGCCACAACCCACATGCAAGCATCGAGGGGTGAGGATTGGAACGGTCGTGATTGGAGAGGGAGCTCCGGCGAGTGGAACTGTCGCGATAGTGATAGTTGATAGCAAGCTCAGCGGCAACGAGTGTAGTTGATAGCGAGCTCAGCGGCGGAGGGAGTTGGGCGACGGCGGTGGTAGATAATTGTGGCCAGAGATGAGAGGAAAAGCGGATGGGGTGGGTGAGAGAGAGAGGGGAATGGGAAAATGAGAGTAAGAGAGAGAGAGAGAGAGAGAGAGATGGGGTAGTTGTCTAGTTGATAAGCATTTTCAGCACAGCAGCCAACCCCATTTCCAGAAGGCAGCACGCAAAAACGGTGGGCAACAATGTTTTCGGTTCTGACCATTCAAACCGAACCGAACCGAGTTGTAATTCGGTTCGGTCGAACCGAATTACAACTCGGTTTGAATTCGGTTGGGGTCTTGGGTATCTCGGAAATTCGGCATGTTCTGGTTCGGTACGGTTCAAACCGAACCGACCGAACGCCCACCCCTACCTGATGAGAAGGCTGTGAGAGCCTGATTTTGCTATATCACCAGTAATAAGTAATTGTATTATATTTAATTAGTTTCCAATTCAAAGGTTGTCTTCATTCGACTTTTTCCCCCTTCTTTTTTACAAGATTGTCCTGATTCGATTGCTTGTTTATATACTTGATTATCATAGTTTTCTTTAACCTAAACGTTAGAATAATGGATGAATAGTTGAATACAAAAGAATTGTAAAACTCTTTGTAATTAATTTTAGGATTAATATATTTGTCTGGGACTGAACCTTTTCCATACTTCACCTATTTTTATATCCCGACTTTGCTATTGTGTAGGATATAACGTACTCTGCTTATTAAAAAGAAAAAGGATACAATGTGCTCCAAGAATATATCATTTGTGACATTTGAACGAGTATATTTTGTTATAACTATATATAATTATTAAAATATGGTGTGGATTTCCATTACTATTAAACAAAAGTTGAAGGAGGAAAAATAAGTCAATCTTAATCAATGGAAAGGAAAAATTAACCATCCTAATTTCTAGCCGACGAGTGGATCAAGAGGATATTGGGAAGGGGATATTGATGCCAGCAAAATTCCAATTGAGGTTTACTATTTTATTAATTTTTTAATGAGAGCAGGTCAGACGACTCTGTACCCCTTAGTCTATCCCTAGACTACTGTCACTAATTAATTGGTTGTGGCTTTCTTATATTAATGAAAAAAATAAAAATATTTGTTTGAGAAGAACTGAGGCAGTCCTCCTCCTCTGTATTTCTCCCTTCTCACGCCATCGACTGAGACAAAGGTATTGTAAAAAAAAAAGACTGAGACAAAGGTTGTGGCTGCCAACTATATTGTTTTCGAAAAGTTATTCGGATTCAAAAAAAATCGCTACAATCGGATACCCGAGTGCAAAGTTACGTTCGTTTGAAGTTTGGGCCGAAGTTAAGAGTTGATCGGAAAAAAAAAATTGGACCAAACCGCTGGGCGGGGTGGCGGTTTGGCCCAAAACCGCTGCCCCACCCAGCGGTTTTTATAGTTTTTTATAACCGCCCATTAGCCCAGCGGCTTGCATAGAAAACCGCGTCCCCACCCAGCGGTTTTCGTGTAAACCGCAGGGTGGGGTGGCAGTTTTTGAAAATGGTGGTATTTTTGAAATTTTTGGGGCTGGGTGGTATTTTTGGAATTTTTTTAAACCGTGGTACTTTTGGATTTTTTCCCTAGAAATTAGGATGCTCAATTATTCCTTCAACGTCTGTTTAATAGTAATGGCAAATGGCAATAAAAACCCATTTAGTTATTTAGAATCCGTTTTTTCCCTAAAAAAAATAAACCAAAAAACGAACGAGCAAATTAAAAACTAATCAGACAATTATCTTTCCCCGAGGAACAAATTTAAAACAATACATTCATAAGCCTTAAACCTAAATCCGAGCATATAATACTAGAGTTCCATAATATAGACCACCATAATCACGCACAAACCAGTGTTCCGAATTAGATACAGTCCCAAAAGATTAATAATAGTACCTAATAGAGAATATAGACCTAAATTACCTTTTTATTGACCCTTCTACCTCCGGTGCCGGTGTCTCAGCCTCTACCTCCGGTTCTTCCTCTGCTGCCTGTGTCTCCTCCGCCAATCATCTCTACCTAGGCTACTGCCACAACCTTCTCCGCCCCTGCCCTCTCCGCAGCTTCAGACGCCTCCGCCACTGCCTTCTCCGCCGCCTCAGATGCCTCCGCCACTGCCTTCTCCGCTGATACCTCAGATGCCTCCGTAACTACCTTCTCCGCCACCCCAGAGGACTCCGCCGATGCCGCTCCAGTTAGTGCCGCTGCAGCTCGGGCCTCCACCTCTACCGCTCGTTTCTCCACCGCTGCCGCTCGTTTCTCTGCCGCTGCCACTCTGGCCGCCGCTGCTGCCTCAACCGCAATCATGAAGAATCCAACTGGTTCTCGCCGCCGGAGGCTAAGGGGGCAGGGGAGGTTGGACCAGTGGGGTGGGGTGGTTCTTGGATGGGAAGACTTGAGTATCTTGAGCTGGAGGTACCCATTCTAGCTTCTGTTTGAATGTACTGCCATTGCAAACTTGTGGATCCTCATCATCCACTTTAAACCAAACCAACATTCTAAAAATTGAAAATGTAAAGATAGGAGAAACTTGCATCAGGTAGTCAGAGGTTGTTTTGAGTAATGGATCCTTATAAACAAAGTTATATATATAAGTGGCTATCTCTTTTTTTTTTTTTACCTTTTCTCATTTAATTTTAGAATTATAACGGGCCTTTTACCCAAAAATTACTAAAGGAGATTCATAAAAAAAAAATAACAATGGAGAAGTCATAGTTAAATAATATGTAACAATGGAAAGAAGGTACGTTTCTCTACGTTTATCTCCATTTGTTAATTTGTTTTGTGTGAGAGAAGAGGAGGGATTTGATTGTTTTGGGGAAGGTAATCTTGCTGGCAGAAAAATCAATTAAATATACACACTCCATCTCTCCTTGTAAATTTATAAGTAATAAGTGGCTATCTTTAATTTTAGGATTACTGTATAATGCACCGTTTACTCAAAAATTACTTATGGAGAGATGGACAGGCGTCACTATTGACATAAAATTTTCTTCGTCACTATTGACTTTTTCGTTTAACCTATAATTACTCGTCACTATTTGTTAGGATTACTTTATAACGGGCCGTTTAACCAGAATAAAGTTTAAGAAATCGAGAAGAATAAAGGAATTGACTTAGGTTTTACTTTTCTTTGTAGTTTATTACAACAAAAGGTTTGTAGTCTAACAAAAAAGTCATAAAAAATAACATTTAAAATAGTTAGTATCGACATATTTTATCATGTCACTATGATACATTGCAACTGTAGTTGGAAATATCACTACTACAACCCATATAACTTGTTTTCTTTCTAAATTTCAAAAGACTAATGGTAATGCACAAACTGTATTGACATGTATGCATCTTCTCTTAAGGCTAACACTAGGATAGACCATGATTGAATATCGGTGTACTTTACTGAATCAGAAGCCCAAGTACAATAATACATTAATTCTCAGAGTAGTTTCTATTCCTAAATTGTTTGAGACTCCTTGCAAAAAGAGGGTGCAGGTACTCTATATTATGCCCTTTCTCATATGAATTATGTTAATAAATTGATTTTTGGCAGTGCATGTGTAGTAACATAATAACATTTTAGGTTGTCTATTGAGTCCACACGTTTTTTGTGCACATGTGCCTTCTATTTAAAATTCGAAGATTTTGGAAACTTGTGTGGCAGGTTGGAGCAGATTTAGGTTGTGATATCTGAGAAACAAATAAATATGTGGTGGGTCAAGAACAAACATATATCAAGATTCAATTGTTAATTTTCGGCAGAGCAACGAAGGTAAGCTTTCTTCCCAAACTAATGGACTTCACGATGATATTAGAACTTAGACGGCACATGTAGTGCCTCGGATCACTGTATAATAATATTTTGAAAGATATAGTGCTCTGGGAATTTAGATGATCTATGTGGAAATCAGAGCCTTTGATATGTAGCGTGGAGGAAGCCAACTGGGGATATGATCTGATAGTTGGGGCTAAGATCTAATGCGCAAAGGGAGTCATGACTTGTGATTTGATGAAATTGACTGCTTTCGGACTAGTATCTTCCCTTATTGTCTTCAAACTTCCGTCGATTGGAACAAAGACTTCCCCTAATTCTGTTAAGTCCTTGCCCCCTTTGATGAGGTGGACAATTCCTTACGGAAGCTCGAGAGGAGGGGAAAAAATCACTTCCGTTTAGTAAAAAAAACAATGAGAACAATAATAATAATAATAATAATAATAATAATAATAATAATAATAAATCACTTCCGTTTGCTGCCGTTACTCACACAAGCTCCCGTTAGCCAAACCAAACAAATTTCTCCCGTCACAGACTACAGCTGTGCGGGCTACTTAGTAGGACATGTCCTCCTGCAGATCCGTTTGATCTTTGACACCAAAATGGCCTCTGCAGACTTGATGAGAAGGCTGTGAGAGCCTGATTTTGCTATATCACCAGTAATAAGTAATTGTATTATATTTAATTAGTTTTCAATTCAAAGGTTGTCTTCATTCGACCTTTCCCCCCCTTCTTTTTTACAAGATTGTCCTGATTCGATTGCTTGTTTATATACTTAATTATCATATTTTTCTTTAACCTAAACGTTAGAATAATGGATGAATAGTTGAATACAAAAAATTGTAAAACTCTTTGTAATTAATTTTAGGATTAATATATTTGTCTGACACTGAACCTTTTCCATACTTCACCTATTTTTATATCCCGACTTTGCTATTGTGTAGGACACAACGTACTCTGCTTATTAAAAAGAAAAAGGATACAATGTACTGCAAGAATATATCATTTGTAACCTTTGAATGAGTATATTTTGTTATAACTATATATAATTATTAAAATACGGTGTGGATTGCCATTACTATTAAACAGAAGTTGAAGGGGAAAAAAATCAGTCAATCTTAATCAATGGAAAGGAAAAATTAACCATCCTAATTTCTAGCCGGCGAGGGGATCAAGAGGATATTGTACAGGGGAAATATCAACCATCCTAATTTCTAGCCGGCGAGGGGATCAAGTAGATATTTGGAAGGGGAAATAAAGTCTCGAAACTATAGGCCGCATGCAATGCGATTGATTGTAATTGTAACCATTAACCAAAATAGAAATAAATTAAAACAAATAAAATATAAAACCTAAGTGATAGGACGGGGGAAGGGGATATTGATGCTAGCAAAATTCCAATTAAGGTTTACTATTTTATTAATTTTTTAATGAGAGCAGGTAAGACGACTCTGTCACCCTCAGTCTGTCACTAGACTACTGTCAGTAATTAATGGGTTGTGGATTTCTTATATTAAGGGAAAAAATAAAAAGATTTGTTTGAGAAGAAATGAGTCAGTCCTCCTCCTCTGTATTTCTCCCTCCTCGCTGGTGTAGTTGAAACACCCATGATGAATCCAACTGGTTCTCGCCGCAAGAGGCTAAGGGGGCAGGGGAGGTCGGACCAGTGGGGTGGGGTGATTCTTGGATGGGAAGACTTGAGTATCTTGAGGTGGAGGTACCCATTCTAGCTTCTGTTTGAATGTACTGTCATTGCAAACTTGTGGATCCTCATCATCCACTTTAAACCAAACCAACATTCTAAAAATTGCAATTGTAAAGATAGGAGAAGGAATCTCAAGATGGAAAATGGAAGAGAATGACCAAGTAAGGCAGAAGCAAAAATGGTATAGTTTTGGATTGTGGTGATTAGCCGGGGAAGGTCGTTGGCTGGGGAATGGAGAAGGGACGTTTCTCTTTTTTTTTATTGCTTTGTTTGTGTGAGAGAAGACGAGGGGTTTAATTGGTTTGGGGGAAGGAATCTTGCTGGCATAACAATAAATATATACCGTCCAGTCCATCTCTCCTTACAAATAAAGTTATATATATAAGTGGCTATCTCTTTTTTTTACCTTTTCTTATTTAATTTTAGAATTATAACAGGCCGTTTACTCAAAAATTATTAGAGATTCATAAAAAAATTATTTAACAATGGAGAAGTCATAGTTAAATAATATGTAACAATGGAAAGAAGGTACGTTTCTCTACGTTTATCTCCATTTGTTAATTTGTTTTGTGTGAGAGAAGAGGAGGGATTTAATTGTTTTGGGAAGGTAATCTTGCTGGCAGAAAAATCAATTATATATACACACTACATCTCTCCTTGTAAAGTTATAAGTAATAAGTAGCTATCTTTTTTTTATTTAATTTTAGAATTACTGTATAATGTACCGTTTACTCAAAAATTACTTATGGAGAGATGGACAAGCGTCACTATTGACATAAAATTTTCTTCATCACTATTGACTTTTTCGTTTAACCTAAAATTACTCGTCCCTATTTGTTAGGATTACTTTATAACGGGCCGTTTACCCAGAATAAATTTTAGGAAATTGAGAAGAATAAAGGAATGGACTTAGGTTTTACTTTTCTTTGTAGTTTAGTACAACAAAGGGTTTGTAGTCTAACAAAAAAGTCATAAAAAATAACATTTAAAATAGTCAGTATCGACATATTTTATCATGTCACTATGATACATTGCAACTGTAGTTGGAAATATCACTACTACAACCCATATAACTTGTTTTCTTTCTAAATTTCAAAAGACTAATGGTAATGAACAAACTTTATTGACATGCATGCATCTTCTCTTAAGGCTAACACTAGGATCGACCATGATTGAATATCAGTGTACTTTACTGATTCAGAAGCGCAAGTACAAGAATACATTAACTCTCAGAGTAGTTTCTATTCCTAAATTGTTTGAAACTCCTTGCAAAAAGAGGGTGCAAGTACTCTATATTGTGTCCTTTCTCACACGAATAATGTTAATAAATTGATTTTTGGCAGTGCATGTGTAGTAACATAATAACATTTTAGGTTGTCTAATGAGTCCAGATGTTTTTTGTGCACATGTGCTTTCTATTTAAAATTCGAAGATTTTGGAAACTTGTGTGGCAGGTTGGTGCAGATTTAGGTTGTGATATCTGAGAAACAAATAAATATGTGGTGGTTCAAGAATAAGCATATATCAAGATTCAATTGTTAATTTTCGGCAGAGCGACGAAGGTAAGCTTTCTTCCCAAACTAATGGACTTCACGATGATATTAGAACTTAGACGGCACATGTAGTGCCTTGGATCACTGTATAATAATATTATTTTGAAAGATATAGTGCTCTGGGAATTTAGATGATCTATGTGGAAATCGGAGCCTTTAATATGTAGCATGGAGGAAGCCAACTGGGGATATGATCTAATAATTGGGGCTAAGATCTAATGCGCAAAGGGAGTCGTGACTTGTGATTTGATGAAATCGACTGCTTTCGGACTCGTATCTTCCCTTATTGTCTTCAAACTTCCGTCGATTGGAACAAAGAATTCCCCTAATTTTGTTCAGTCCCTGCACGCTTTGATGAGGTGGACAATTCCTTACGGGAGCTCGAGAGGAGGGGAAAAAATCACTTCCGTTCAGTAAAAAAAACTATGAGAACAATAATAATAATAATAATAATAATAAATCACTTCCGTTTGCTGTCGTTACTCACACAAGCTCTCGTTAGCCAAACCAAACAAATTTCTCCCGT